GGGAGGGACTGGGAGCCAGACTGGGAGGGACTGGGTGGTACTGGGATGGACTGGGAGGGACTGGGAGGGACTGGGATGTACTGGGAGGCATACTGGGATGTACTGGGATCATACTGGGAGGGACTGGGATATACTGGGATGTATTGGGAGCCATACTGGGAGGGACTGGGAGGGACTGGAATGGACTGGGAGCCATACTGGGATGGACTGGGAGGCATACTGGGATATACTGGGATGTACTGGGAGGGACTGGGAGCCATACTGGGATGTACTGGGATCATACTGGATCATACTGGTGCCATACTGGTGCACACCAATCTGTACTGGTTTATACTGGTCCATACTGGTCCACATCGCTTGATACTGGCCCTTATACTGGTCCCATACTGGTCTGTATCGCTCCATACTGGTTTTTACTGGTCTATACTGGTCCATACCATCCCATACTGGTTTACACTGGCCGGCACTGGTTCATACCGGTTTATACTGGTTCATACTGGTTCATACTGGTTTATACTGGTTTATACTGGTTTCCACAGCCGCGGTGATTTGGGCTTGGAGCGCAACGGTGCGGTGACATTCAGGTCGGCGGCTCCGCCCACTTCCCCCTTAGCCCCGCCCCCTTCACCCAAACCACGCCCACTTTCCCACAGACCACGCCCCCTTCCGCATACGACCACGCCCCCTTTTCCTCTTGGCCACGCCCACCTCGCCTTAGCCCCGCCCTTTCTCTCAAATCCCACTCGCACATTGGCCACGCCCCTTTCCCCATAACCCCGCCCGTGTCCTAAGTAGCCCCGCCCCCTCCCATAGACCCGAGCTATACCCAAACCACGCCCACTTTCCCCGTAGACCACGCCCACTTCTTCACCTCGCCCCCTTGCTCCTGACCGCGCCTCCTCGCCTTAGCCCCGCCCTCTCCCTTGAACCCCATTGGCCACGCCCACTTCCAGACAACCCCGCCCGCTTCCTACGTAGCCCCGCCCACTCCCATAGAACCGCCCTTCCCTCTAACCACGCCCACTTTACCTTTAGCCCCGCCCTCCATTCTCACCCAGCCAATCCCTGCTTTCTCGTTAACCCCGCCCCTTCGCCAGAAACCCCGCCCACCTCCGGCATAGCCCCGCCCACTTTCCCCAACCAGCCCTCACCCCTTA